TTTGGCGCGAAAGCAAAAAAAACAAGTCCTCTTTGCTCAATCGGCCAGCTTTGGCGATGAGTCTCTTCTGCTTTTTGCTTTCGCTTTTCAGCGTTTTGCTGACGTCTTTCAGCGAAGCTTTCAACTCCTGCCTTCTCCGCTTAAGGTCGCCCAGCACGTCAGTCATAGTAGTAGAGATCACAGGCGCAGCCACGGAGGAGGTCACAGCTGCACCGTCAGCCATAGAGCCCATAGAGGTCGCAGCTGCTAAATCATGCGCGCCGTCAGCCATGGAGCCTATGGAGGTCACAGTGGGGTCACTACTGGCGCAACAGCAGGGTTTTTCGTCTCTACAAATTCAATCAGAGCCGTTGAACAGGCATGCACAGTTAGCCAGCGCAGCTGTTTCCACACTGAACAAATGCTGGTCAGGCACCAGCAAAACGGCTCCATGTTTTGAACTGTCTGACGGTCCTTTTTTCAGACCTCCGCAACGTTCTGTCATTGTATCTTCCCTCCAAATTACGAGTGAACAGCAGGGAATATGTTTTGCTTGTACAGCGTTGTCTCGGCCAGAGAGAGGCTATCTGGGATTGCGTCGGCAAACTGTCCTGCACTGTCGGGTCTAAGCCCAGTGCTTGAAGGTCCTTGGGCAAAAGATTGATATTTCCATCAAGTGCACAAATGGCTTGAAAGGCTTTAGCCCAAGAACGTGCCTGCAGCCAAGCAGGCACTTTGAAAAAAATCTGGAAAAACAAGGCTTTGGTCACTTCGTGACCCTCGGCCCGCAGCTTTTGAAGTTCACCAGCAAAAAAGCCTTGAAGGCTCTGAAACAAAAGACATCTGCCACCTGAAGTTGAGGAGTGAGACCAGTTGGCACGCAAGCTATAAAGAGTTGCAGGCTTCGTGCCTTTTGCAGCACGGACTGCGTGATGTGGCACGGAGCCAGGTCCATGGTCAGAGTTGGCTGGCAGAACTGCTGCCAAGGCCTCAAAGCAGCTGCTAGCACCTCCAAAATTTCACACATGACAACAGATGTGTTCCACGACGAAGCTAATCTCCATATACATAAGGAAGGTGGGGCTGCAGCAAGTAAGTCTTCGTAAAGCTTTTTGGAGCACAAGTGCTTGTTGCAAAGCACAAAGGAAGGCAAGCACTTTTGCACGGCTTCATTTTCACAAAGCACAGCAACGAATGTTGCGCTGCCGCGTCTCAGAAGCTTTGCCCCTGCATGGGAAGTCCAACCACGAGCTTTGGACGCTACCAGTCCCACGCGCGGGTTCTCTGGAAAGCGCATGCAAGTCTCGTCTAAGTTCAACAAAAGAAGCGGTCGGTCCAGTGTAGTTCTGCGTTGCAAATGTTGCAACCATTGCCAAAAATTGCCACCTGCACAACGAAAACGACCCCACTTCCTGGCCCCCAAAAATGACCCCAGTTTTAGTTCCCCTACATAAAAAAGATCTAGTTTTGGGGCCGCTCAGCGGCCCCAGATTTGGGGCCCCACCTTGCCCTTTTCAATTTCAGGTTGGCACGACCATGCTCGACGAGATAACCCCCAGCGCTTGCGAAAGCGCTGCACCCATGCAATTCTTCCACGATAGCCAATGCAGCGACTGGACGGCTCAAATGCTTCGTACATGGCGTACACAGCCGCCAAACTTGGAACCACTCCTCGAAGATTAAGCTTTTCAATCTCTTTGACCAACAAAACTTCAGCCACCTCCTTGCGAACTCGGGCGCTGATACTCGCATCAAGAGGCACAGAGACCGCTATTTCCTCCACTAAGTCCAGCGTGGGGTAGTCAGCGTCCTCTGGGCGTAAGCCACTGAATTTTTGGGCGGCAAACAAAGTGATTGCAAGGTCGCAGCCAGACATCAAGTAGGCCGCACGGACCTTCTCCAACCATGGCAATGTCAGCCCAACGGGGGAAAGTCTGCGGCTTTGCCGCTTTCTCTTGCCGCTGCCGAAGCCATTGGAAAAACCAACTGTGTGTTGAATGCCATTTGGCATTCGCGGCATGTTCATCCAAGGCCTCCAAGCCACCAAATGGAAAAGCACAAGTAGGGATGCTGCTCTTGAGGCAAAAACTGCACATGGCCAAAAAAGCACAAGTAGGGATGCAAGTCTCAAGTAATCCGGATGGTTCCAAAAAGTTCCGTGGCATTTTTGTTGAAACAGTCCTGAAAGCACCGCGCCGCTCCGACACCAAAGGCACGGCGCCTGACAAGGCGGGGGCACCAAAGCCTATTTCCTACATCTTCAAAGGCACCCCCGCAAAAAATGAACCAAACAAACCGTGTGGCGCAGCTTTGCGCGCTTGAGAAGATCCTCCAATGCACTGAGTGGCACACCCCCGCTGAAGATACTATCCCAGAACAAACCATGAACCCCTAAATAGGGCCTATATTTCGATTCCAAAAATGGCCCCATCACGGCAAAGACAATGTAGCCAATCGGAAATAGTGAAGGATATTCTCGAAGAGCATGCAAAGGTCGGTGGAGCCTTCACAGGATGGCTGCAGGCGAAATGTTTCATTCCAGCTCCTCATTACAATCATAACATCTGGGCCAGTCCAAGTCCCCTGCAACCCCTGCAGTCAGCGTTAAAGTGACAAAAGCAAGGTGGGCCAGAGAACCCAAAAGCATGACGGCACACAGCACGCCTTTTAATCTTGTGGTGTGGGCAGCTGTGCTCTGCACGAAATCGACGTAAGATCTGTACTGAAGCATCGTGCGCACTGACGGTATCAGGGGCCACAATTCACCACAGCATGCTGTGTCAGCTACGTCTACATTCTTCTAGTCGCTTTTCTGCTAATGTAATTAATTCCGTCCCATCTTATCTATTTCTGCGTTCTCATTTCGTTTGCTAGAGACCCCTAGAAAAATGTGACCACACCCAATCCCCTGCGACCCCTGCGGTCAATGTTGAAATTTGTCAATGTTTGAATACCGATCGAACAGACATCAATAGACATGAAAGGCTTTCATTCTGGGAGGTCTCCTCGATAGACATCAAACATTTATTCTGAAAAGTCCGCGGCATGTCAACATTGACTGCAGGGGTTCAAGGGGATCCCCTGCGGCTTTTCTTTCAACTAAGCAGCTGCACCTGCCAACAAACAGTACTGGGCCTTCCACAAACGCGCGTCGTACTACGCAATCATGAAGAGACATGCAAACTCAGATGTATAGACATATATATATATATATATTCGTCGCGCTAATCGTCGGGTTACGCCACGTCGAGAAATAAAATCAAATCAGTCTCAAACAACAGTCCATCACAAATGAAACCATCGACTGAACAGGTCCGAGTTGCCAAAGAAAAATTGCACAACGTGAAACCACCGTACTGAAAATCAAAATCAAGCAACCAACACTCAGATGTATTCCCTCGGGCTGCTTCCTTTCGAGGATCGAAGCAAAGATGCGGAACATCCGTCTCTCTTAGGATCGACTAACCCATGTCTAATTGCTGTTTGCATAAACAACTATCTGATGTCCGAGTCCCTTTCGAGGATGGACGCAAAGCTTGCGTGTGCGGAACATGTCTTCGGATCGATTGACCCATGTCCAAATGAGGTTCACATGAAACCCTTCCCCACTTCATTTGAACCGTGCTACTGCTGCCACGGAGGCTGCTTCGCTCAGACTCACGGCCGCAATACTCAAGTAGTTTCTGCTCAGCGCAAACATCAAGACACCTGGGAAGACAAGGTGCTTGACTTGCAATTTTACTATAATCTGATTTCAGGGTAAACTGGGGTTAAGGAAAAAAACGCTAGGAGGCCGTTTCGAGGATCGAAGCAAAGCTGCAGAACATCGGTCTCTCTTAGGATCGACTAACCCATGTCTAATTGCTGTTCGCATAAACCACCATCTGATCCATTACGTCAAGTGCATCATCAAGTTAGTGAGCCCCTTACCGTTTTACATGGTTTCCTTTTTTACATATATTTTGGCAATATTTTACCTCTGCTTAAGCATAGTTTTGAAGCGCGTCCACTCGGATTCTCATCCTTGGCGATCTTTGTTTGCGCGCGTTGGGGCGCACTTGTGCTTTTGCCCGTGCCTGTCTGGTCCTCCTTCGCGCTGCTTGGGCGGTCTCTTCAACCAGCATGTCTGTTGGAAAGAAAATGGGTTGTGGCATGCTTTGGCCACTTACAGCTGCTAACCTCAAAATTTATCCAGCCGGGGCACAAACGTTTAGTCCATCACTACAACATATTGCCAACATCCACCACCGGTTCGGCCTTTTGTGTGACCAGTCGGTCACCCGGGGCGCTTTTGGAAAAAAAATACTGTCGTTGGTTGTCACATGCGTGCAAGACTGAATGAATAGTTCGCCGCGGTGTACCAAAGCTAGGCCAGGCAGCATGGAGTTGGCCACTCCTATACTGCCTGCGAATAGATGCATGGTTTCCGTAATCTGAGCTACTCGCTGCCGAGGTTAAGCAGCCCCACCTAGGTGGCTAAAGTAATGTAAAGCCATGTAAAGTCTTAAAGTCAACCCACCGCATGGGCACACCCATTCATGGTGAAGTGGATCCATCCGTGAAAAACAACCCTGCCTAAGCAAACACTATGCCCACACCACAAAACGCGCAAGCATGCGCAACCAAAAAGCGTATCGCTTTGCTGTGAGTCCCCTATTGTTTTAGCGGGTTTCATGCAACAGTCAACATCCGATGCACACCCCAGTACACACTTAAGCAGCCCAAATTTTGACGGAATCTCAGATTTCGGGTAAACTGCGGTTGAGGGGAAAAAAACGGTCAAGAAGTTAAACCCCATTCTCTTCGAGGATCGAAGCCAAGAACATCCGTGTCTCTTAGGATTGGAAAGACATCAATAGACATCAAAGGGTTTCATTCCGGGAGGTCTCCTCGATAGACATCAGAGATTTAATTCTGAAAGGTCCCCGGCATGTCAACATTGACAGCAGAAGAAAATTCCCCACGGCTTTTCTTTCTGGGCGTCAAGGGCTTCATCTGCTTACATGGAATCCATTTGATTTTCATCTGCTGCGACTTCTCACCCGCACCTCTTGGTCTCTCTGCAGGATCCACGATGCATAACATTTTGTGCAACTGAAAATCTTCTTGAAAGCAGGGTCTGGATTGGGTAAAGTGTGCGGAAAATGAAGCATGGAGCCAAATCTGCTGTCCCAGGCCATTGTGTCCAAATGGGTCGGTCCCTGGATTGGATGCTGCGACGTCATGAACACGATCACATTTTCACTGTGGTTCACATTCCACATGTAGTCTTGGGCTCCTTCTCCTCCCTTGGGCACGCCAATCAGAAATGGCTTGCAATCCAAAATATTCAGGAGGTCACCCCAGGACAGTGGCGGATGTGGGAACCGGAAATCGTTCCAAACCAAGGCCTTCTTTCCGATGAGGGTGTGCAATGGGAAGGATGTTGCCACTTGCGGCTTCAACATGACATATTGCTTGAAAAGAGCTAGGATTGGCCGCGTCAATGCGGTTTTCCCAGACGAAGGAGCACCATAGTAGAAATGATTCATTCCTTTTCCTCCACCAGACTGGAACAAGCGCACAATGGAGTCCCGGTAGTCCGCAATGGCAATGCCGTTGTGCTCCAGCAAAAAGTTCCATCCAGGAATGGCGCGGCCGTTGCAAGAGCAAGTGTGGCGCAGACCTTGAGAAAGGATGTCAAAATGAGATGCATCTCGGTCCTGCCATCACAAACGGGCTGGCTCTTTGAGGGGTGTATCTCATGTAGTACAGAGTCCAGAAAAACTCATTTTTAAGGTCGTTTCTAAATTCAGCTGGAGCTTCTTAGAAGGTTTTCATTCAACTGGGACACATGCCAGATCTGCTTGGGCTGACATATGACATATATAACAAAACCGATAATAATTTCTAACATGGACATCCAAGGATGGAGCACCAAAAACACTCACACCGAAGACCTTGCCTTTGAATCCTTTGCCTTGCTACATGCACTTCCGACCTGCTACCATGAATCCTTTTGAAACAAGTGTCCAACACAGTGCGCAAGACACAAAGCGGAGCCAGTTCAAGTCCTCCAATCTTCTGCCTGCGGTTTCGACAGCCCAAACAGCAGCAATCTGTTCCTGCAGTCTTTTCGCCTGCGTCCCATAGGCCACGCTCAACCACCGATCGTCGCCACCATCCGCCTGCCTTTTTGCAAAGGCATAGAAAGCATCCAAGGATCGAATCTCTTGTTGTCAAAGAACATTTCCAAGCTCCAATGGCTTCACACGCTTTGGACGTCTGTCTTTCACAAGCCGTTGCAAAATGTCTGGATGCCCACGACTCAAGAGGTAACAAGTGTCTAAGTGTTCCCGAGGCTTCTTGGCACTGGGCACATAACAATAAGCAAATGCACCCCAGTAGACCGAACGGCCGGAGCCGGCCGCCGAGCAGTGCATGGGGCGGTCTTGGCTTCGAAGAACCCGCGCAATTGCTCGCCATCGGTGTCTCTCATCGCTCTCTACGATGATATGGAAATGGAACTGCCGCTCTAGCTCAGACCGGGAGGTCGGGTGATGCTCACGAAACACCGGGTAGTGGAGAATCTGCACACCTGCTGCAGCATAGGCATTCGTAATGACGGTTGCAACATCTTCTCGGCTCATCTCTGGTGCTCGGGCATAGGTCCACATGTAGACTTGTCTGCGATCATCTTTGGCCGCACTTCTGTAATTGTCAACACGGTCGTGCAAGGGGCATTCATCTTCGGATTCCGCTTCCACTTCCGACGATGACCGTGAGGAGCTGGAGCTGGAAGGTCCCTGTTCATCAGTCAACTCAGCATCATTTTGATTATCTGCATCACCCATACCTGGCGGAGCATCAAGCAATTCTGAACCTTCATGCTGAGCATCACCAAGGCCGCGCTCATTAGGCGAGACTTGTTCCTGCTGATCATGCTGTTGAGATTGGTCACTAACATCTGCAGAAGGTCGCTCTGCATCAGTCAACTCAAGCTCTTCGCATTGATGATCACCAATGCTACGCTCCCCAGGCGACTGAGAAAGTGCATGCTGAGCATCACCAAGGCCAGGCTCCTCAGAAGAGGCTCGTTCCTGCTGATCATGCTGTGGAGGTGGGTCATTACCCTCTGCCAAAAAACGCTGTTCACCACTCAACTCAGGATCCTCATTCTCATGCTGATCACCACCGACGCAGTTCTCCTCCGAAGAAATTTGTTCTTGCTGATCATGCTGTAGAGGTTGGCCACGACTCTGCAGAAAGCCCATGTTCATCTGTCAACTGCGCATCATCATCATCAATGATAATTTCGTTCGCCCGCAACCATTGCAGAATGTCATTTCGCCGCATCCGCGGCCGGTGCGAATCCACATGAAATCAAACAAAGATGTTGAAGTGAACTCACGTGCTTCATGAAACGCCCAAAAACTCACATAGCAAAAATGTGCTGTTGCAATGGCACCAAATCGCGCCTACAAGTTGCCCTTATGAAGCTGTCAACATGAACATGAAAAGTCACTTCGGTTTCTTGCTGCAGCGAGGGATGCAACCAAAATCAAAGGTTGAATTTGATCGAATTTGCACAACGCATGCGCAACATGCGGACATCAATCATATGCCGTGTCACAGGTCCCTGGGGTCCGAAAAAGGAAGAAGTGGGATACCACCAAATCCATGAGTCTCCAAATTAAATTGTCAGCATCTAAGATGGAAAACGCGGGAGGAAGGAGCGTGCGCAAGCGAAATACACAAGAAGGAACGAATCACAGGCTGAGAGAAAAACAGAGAAGGGCAAAAGAAAGTTACAGGAAGAAAGAGGCACCAACGCAAAACCAAATACTGTCGCAAAGCACAAACAAAGAGCCAAAGCAGCCCAATAATTTATTTATTTTTTGCCTGATTTGGGCCATAAAAGGTGTGGAAAACTGGACCAGAAAACTTCAAGGAGAAAACCTTGGAAAGGTTGCTAAGATACAAGTTTGTTATTTTACTTTGTTTTTGTTTTTTCTTTTCAAGGTCTGTTTCTGGCCACAGAAAGGTTATTCAACAATTGCTGGCATTTTCAAGAACATATTCTGGGAAGGGCGGCCATTTAGTTTTGTGACACCAAGTTTCCAGAGTATTTTTCGCATTTGTTCGATTGATTTCTTTAGATGCGTGTTTTTGGTTAAAATCGCTTCTCAAAAATGGATGCACCTTTCAAGAACAAAATTTTGGCGATTGGGGCCAATTAAAATGGCATATAGTCTTGTGACACCAAGCTGCCAGATCATTTTGTCGCATTTTTTCGCTTGATTTCTTTAGATGCGCGTTTCTTGGTCACAAACGCTAGTGAAAAAGGGATGCACCTTGGGGCCAATTAAAATGGAGTATAGTCTTGTGACACCAAGTTTCCAGATTTTTTTTTCGATTTTTTCGGTTTTTTTACGATGCATTGTTTTTGATCACAAACGCTAGTGAAAAAGAGATGCATCTTTCAAGAACAAAATTTTGGCGGTTGGGGCCAATTAAAATGGCATATAGTCTTGTGACACCAAGCTGCCAGATCATTTTGTCGCATTTTTTCGCTTGATTTCTTTAGATGCGTGTTTCTTGGTCACAAATTTAAGTGAAAAAGCGATGCACCTTTCAAGAAGACAACCTTGGGGCGCTGGGGCCAATTAAAATGGAGTATATTTTTGTGACACCAAGTTTCCAGATGTTTCTGTTCGATTTTTTCGTTTTTTTTACGATGCATTGTTTTTGATCACAAACGCTAGTGAAAAAGAGATGCATCTTTCAAGAACAAAATTGTGGCGCTTGGGGCCAATTAAAATGGCATATAGTCTTGTGACACCAAGCTGCCAGATCATTTTGTCGCATTTTTTCGTTTGATTTCTTCAGATACGTGTTTCTTGGTCACAAACGCTAGTGAAAAAGGGATGCACCCTTCAAGAACACAACCTTGGGGCGCTGGGGCCAATTAAAATGGAGTATATTTTTGTGACGCCAAGTTTCCAGATTGTTTTTTCGATGTTTTCCCCTTATTTCTTTAGATGCGTTGTTTTTGGTTACAAACGCTAGTGAAAAAGGGATGCACCTTTCACGAACAAAACTTGGGCGGTTGGAGCCAATTAAAATGGCATATAGTCTTGTGACATCAAGCTGCCAGATCGCCCCGGTTTTGTTCTGGCAAACTGCATTCATTTGTCTAGAGCATTTGCGACGAAAAACATGCATCTAAAGAAATTCAGCCAAAAAACAAAACAATCATCTGGAAACTTGGTGTCACAAAACTATATTCCATTTTGATTGGCCTCAGCTTCCCAGGTTTTGTTCTTGAAAGGTGCATCCCTTTTTCACTAGCGTTGGTGACCAAAAAGACATGGATCTAGAGAAATTAAGCGAAAACTAGTATCTTGTTGTCACAAAACAATATTCCATTTTAACTGGCATGATTTTTTGGCAGTGCTTTTTTGATTGTAATTTTGGTCAAAAATCAACAGCAGCATATCCAAATTAAAATGGGCCTGCCACGCACTGACTTTGGGCGGTCAGAATTTGTTTTGAGCTGCAGCCATGCCAGAAGATTGCCAGATCAAAATGTCAAATATATTTCGTTCTCTCTTATTACCTTTGAACGCATGTAGATCATTTTACAACCATATTCTTGTGGGCCACACATATATCTATATCTATATCTATATCTACATCTACATCTACATCTATATCTATTCAAATTGAACCAAAACTTTTTGTGGTATCTTGAACGTTTAATCACCTTAGCCCAACGTTAAATTCATCCCTCATCGTCAGTTCTGCTTGCCAAAAACGGCCCACTTCTTCCACAAAAATTTGCACGAGAGGCTGATTCGCTCAAGCTCACGCCAAAAGCTGCATCGCAACCCTTGCGTCCATTCGGCAGGGGAGTTGTTACACACTCCTTAGATTCGATGTTTTGGACTTCCATGACCACCGTTCTGCTGTCAAAATGAACAAAAACCTTTGTGGTATCTTGAACGTTTAAGCATCTTAGCCCAACGTTAAATTCATCCCTCATCGCCATTTCTGCTTGCCAAAAACGGCCCACTTCTTCCACAAACATTCGCACGAGAGGCTGATTCGCTCAGGCTCACGCCAAAAGCTGCATCGCAACCCTGGCGTCCATTCGGCAGGTGAGTTGTTACACACTCCTTAGATGTTTTGGACTTCCATGACCACCGTTCTGCTGTCAAAATGAAGAAAAACCTGTTGTGGCATCTTGAACGTTTGAGCACCTTAGCCCAACGTTAAATTCATCCCTCATCGCCAGTTCTGCTTGCCAAAAAACGGCCCACTTCTTCCACAAACATTTGCACGAGAGGCTGGGTCGCTCAGGCTCACGCCAAAAGCTGCATCGCAACCCTGGCGTCCATTCGGCAGGTGAGTTGTTACACGCTCCTTAGATGTATTGGACTTCCATGACCACCGTTCTGCTGTCAAAATGAAGAAAAACCTGTTGTGGCATCTGGGACATTTAAGCACCTTAGCCCAACGTTAAATTCATCCCTCATCGCCAGTTCTGCTTGCTAAAAACGGCCCACTTCTTCCACAAAAATTTGAGGCTCACGCCAAAAGCTGCATCGCAACCCTGGCATCCATTCGGCAGGTGAGTTGTTACACACTCCTTAGATGTTTTGGACTTCCATGACCACCGTTCTGCTGTCAAAATGAAGAAAAACCTGTTGTGGCATCTGGAACGTTTGAGCACCTTAGCCCGACGTTAAATTCATCCCTCATCGCCAGTTCTGCTTGCCAAAAAACGGCCCACTTCTTCCACAAACATTTGCACGAGAGGCTGGTTCGCTCAGGCTCACGCCAAAAGCTGCATCGCAACCCTGGCGTCCATTCGGCAGGTGAGTTGTTACACGCTCCTTAGATGTATTGGACTTCCATGACCACCGTTCTTCTGTCAAAATGAAGAAAAACCTGTTGTGGCATCTGGAACATTTAAGCACCTTAGCCCAACGTTAAATTCATCCCTCATCGCCAGTTCTGCTTGCCAAAAACGGCCCACTTCTTCCACAAAAATTTGAGGCTCACGCCAAAAGCTGCATCGCAACCCTGGCGTCCATTCGGTAGGTGAGTTGTTACACACTCCTTAGATGTTTTGGACTTCCATGACCACCGTTCTGCTGTCAAAATGAACCAAAACCTTTTGTGGTATCTTGAACGTTTAAGCACCTTAGGCCAACGTTAAATTCATCCCTCATCGCCAGTTCTGCTTGCCAAAAACGGCCCACTTCTTCCACAAAAATTTGAGGCTCACGCCAAAAGCTGCATCGCAACCCTTGCGTCCATTCGGCAGGTGAGTTGTTTCACACTCCTTAGATGTTTTGGACTTCCATGACCACCGTTCTGCTGTCAAAATGAACCAAAACCTTTTGTGGTATCTTGAACGTTTAAGCACCTTAGCCCAACGTTAAATTCATCCCTCATCGCCAGTTCTGCTTGCCAGAAACAACAAGAACAGATCAGGTTAGACATTATCGCAGCGGCAGCAACAGGAACTTGTTTTGGTAGAAGAAACAACTCTATACGCACTACGTTGCTACGCAAGGGCCTGCCTCATACCACAACCTCATACCAGGACCCCGAAGCGAATGTTACAACCTGTCGCCGGGAAAAAAAAAAAGGTCCAGCTTTCAACTCCTGCGCTCATCTGGGGGCCTGCCACCGCAAAAATGCACATTTTCACCTGGGAGTCTGCCACCGCAAAAAAAAAGGTTAAGAAGGTTCAGCTTTCAACTGACGCACTCATGTGGGAACCTGCCACCGCAAAAAACCACAGAAGGTGTAGCTTGCAAGTGTCGCATTTTCATCTGGGAGCCTGCCACCGCAAAAACGTCAAGAATATCCAGCTTGCAGCTGTCACATTTTCACCTGGGAGCCTGCCACCGCAAAAAAAAGGAAAAGAAGGTTTTGTTTTCAACTGCCACACTCATCTAGGGGCCTGCCACCCCAAAACCGTCAAGAATAGGCAGCTTGCAGCTGTCACATTTTCACCTGGGAGCCTGCCACCGAAAAAAAAGTAAAGAAGGTTTAGTTTTCAACTGCCACACTCATCTGGGAGCCTGCCACCGCAAAAACGTCAAGAATATCCAGCTTGCAGCTGTCACATTTTCACCTGGGAGCCTGCCACCGAAAAAAAAAGTAAAGAAGGTTTAGTTTTCAACTGCCACACTCATCTGGGAGCCTGCCACCGCAAAAACATCAAGAATAGGCAGCTTGCAGCTGTCACATTTTCACCTGGGAG